TGAGGATGGTGTAGTACAGTGTTTTGTTCTGTTGTACACAGTGTTGGTATAAATCGGAACTGACTCGATGGCACCTAACAACAAGTAAGCTGTACTCCTTATTTCCATCATACTTTTGAATGTCTGCTCTGCTACCCTTATGAGTTGAGCTTGTATTCATCCTCTTAAAACCAAGTTTAGTAAAACTTCCCCTCATTACCTTAGAAAGTCACAGTGTCCTCAGGGCCCCAGGGGCTTTGTACAGAGCAGGGTGATCTCGAGAAATCATTTTTTATTGGATTATTTATACATGTCTTTCCCACTGTGCTGTGGGCTCTTCAGACTTCTTTACCTTCAGCTCATTAAACTCTGACAGCTAGCATGGCTTCCAAAACAAGGAATGGGAAAGGAAGAGAGGAAAATTTTAACTCACTCTCTTACCCTGACCAAATGACTGCTGGGTTAGAGGGAGGTATCATGTTGTAGGGTGTAGAAGAAGAATGTGCTAGACAAAACAACATGCATAAACTCAAACCCTTAGCTGTCCAGCACATATACACAGTCCAGCACACCCACTAACCTTCTTCCTTTCCCCACCAGTTGTAGTTGAGTCGATTCCAGCTCATGGTGAACTCATGTGTCTCAGAGTAGAACTGTGCTCCACAGGGTTTTCAATGGCTGATTTATCAGAAATAGATCACCAGGCCTTTCTTCCAAGGCACCTCTGGGTGGACTTGAACTGCCAACCTTTTGGTGAGAAGCTGAGAGCTTTAACCCCTTCCCCCACACTTCCAAAAATATCTTCCTTAACATACACCAAAGATCCACACACACAACTTCAAGCACGCACCCCCTTTGCAGGAAATCATGCAGAGAGTCACATTCAGCTATTGCAATCAGAGATGATATAATGCTATTGTTCTCTGAGCGCAGGATCTCTGGGGTGTGCCTGTCTTTGATATTCTGCAACCTAGCGACCAGATGGCAAAATTAATCACCAGCCCAACCATCTCTAAAGTATAATGATAAAGGGAGGAAGGACAAAGGAAGAGAAGAAAACTTTAAAAAATTATAGTGTTGGGGTCAGGGGAGTGCTGGAATTATTTGCTTTTCAGCATCAAAGAAAATGCAGATGGAGGCAATGTCCTTGTTTCTGTAACTTTGAGGCACCAGCATTTATGACTCCTCTCCCCCACTATCCATGCCATGCGTCCCTTGCCTTTGATCAGCATCTCGTCTATGACCTAGTTTCGCAAACTCTATTTCCCAGCCCCTCTCTTTCTCTATAAACGAATGCAAGTGGTTTAGTTTTGTAATATTCTTTGTGGAAAAAAAGTTTTCTTTGACCACTGAGGATCAATTCAGACAGACTACATTTTTTATTTACCAACTGGATGGCAATTACATCGGAGTCCACTCAAACATATGCGCCAAAGAAATGAACTCATACAAATATTTTGTGTGTGGGTAAAAACAGTTAAAGGACAGTTTAATGTTCTTTATTAGTAAATGGCCCTCCAGCTTCTGAAAATGGAAAAGGGGACTCAAGAGTCTCTTGAAGAAAGATGCACGTGTGTGGATAGAGAAGCACATCAGAACACGTGTGGTTTCTAAAATAATTGATGACCTCTTCCAAAGGAGGGGAAGTATGTCTCAGTATGTAGGTAAAGGAGATCATTCTTCCTTCAATAAAGGATTCATTTAACCATAACAATCATCAGTTAGTTCAGTTGTTTGTCAGGCAGGAAAATCTGAGAAGCAGTACTTATACCAACAGAACAAATAAAAAATACCAGGAGGGCAAACCAGAAAAAGGGAACGTATCTTTCAACTGATTTTAAAAGAGCAAAACGTGATTTCGAGAAAAGTATGTTTGGGACATTAGAACTTCTTCACCTTCTCTGGTTACCAAGCAATTTCATTCTGACCAGCCAACCCTGAAGGCATGTGTGAGGACAATTGCTGAGGCACATTATTTTCCAAAAGCAGAAAATACTTCTGATTCATCATCTGGTAAATTATAGGAAGGAAAAACTCAGTGAGTTGGGGAAAAAGTTTTACTGTGAAACATATAACACGATTCAGGATAATGTTCAAACTCTCTTTCTTCAGAGACCCAACAGAAGCTGTGACCTCACTTTCAAGTGGCAACTGATTTATTCACATGTCAGTGAAGAACAAAGTCTATTTGAAGTCTGAGAGGAGTCATTTTTCTATGGAGAAATGCATTTCACATAGTGTAACTTCCATTTGGATCCACAAAATCTAAGATTAAAGTTAAACTCTTCTGAGGACAGACCACAGTCATCTGAATTTTGTCTCATGATAAAAGAATTTTTCCTGCCAGAACCATTTGTGCAGTAGACGCTTTCAGCCTTCCCACCACATGGCAGGCAGCGTGCAAGTTGGAAAAGTCCAACCAAGGCTGAAGCATCTCTGATTTAACAAAATGAGGCATGAATTCCATACCCCTAGAAGATTCACACTATTATTTTAATGTGAATGTTTTTTCATTGCCGTTGGGTATGATAACATAGTCAACAAAATTTTATTTCATAGGATCTGGTCATTGTTGGCTGAGATGTCAATTTATGATCTACTATGTTTCAAGGTTCATTTAGGTTGTGTGATTTAAAGAATTAAAATCTACAGTGCCAAGCTGAACTAGGAGGAATCATTCTTTTTCAGTGACTAGGGCGTGATTGTTGTTGTTGTGTGCCAGTGAGTCATTTCCAACTCACAGCGACCACACAGGACAGAGCAGAACTACCCCATAGGGTTTCCTAGGCAGTAATCTTCATAGGAGCAAACTGGGATGTCTTTTCTCCCACAGAGTGGCTGGATGTCTTTTCTCCCACAGAGTGGCTGAATGGATTCGAATAGTGGACCTCTCAGTTAGCAGCCGAGGGCTTAACCATTGCACCACCAGAGCTCCTTTTTAGGGCACAGTAAGAGTGCATAAATGACCTTGTTCTGAGCTGACGCTTGGGTATCAAGTAAGCAAGTGGTGGTGGTTCCATATAATAAGTGATCTTTCAAAGCTAATAGTATTTACACTGTGGTAGACACCATGCTAAATGCTTTTCAGGTATTATTTATTTCTCTCAATAGTTCTCTATACTAGATAAGAAAACTGCCACTTTGAGAGGCAAGTGATTGCTCAAAGTTCCACAGTTACTAGTAAGTGGTGTGGCCGAAGCCCATGCTCATCACCACTACGCATTTCTTCCCTTTGGGGCTGCAAATTAGTGCAGCTTCTATACTTGCCACCACACGTTAGCTTTTTAGTGCTTTCGCATATACACTCACTTTGTTTACATGCTCCTTTAGGTTATTAGCTTCTTTCTAGAGGTTGAATGCTATGTCTGCTTTGCTATCAATTTAAAAGGCCTTCCTTGTACGGTAAAGTTGAAGTAATCTGAATTAACAGCAAAATTAATCGTTCAGATACCAACTTATAATGTCAAAATCATGGTGACTCTGAGGACACAAGCAGCTGCCTTAAAGCGAGGACACTAGGGTATTGCTGCTGTGATGGTGAAAACACACTTCCACTACCACCACCACGGCATCAACAGCAACTACCTAGTACTGAGCATTATTCTTGTGCAAGGGAGCGAGGCTAGGTATTCTACATACATTCTCTCTAAACTTCAAAATAGATCAGCAAAGTAGGAACTATTATTCTCATTTGATAGCTAGAGAAGCTAAAACTCAGACAAATTATGAAAAAAGACCTGGATTCCAGACCTTGGCAAAGCATATAATATAAAGTCCATTCTTATCATAAGAAAGGGGACCTCCAGAAGCCACATCAAAAATAAACTAAAAAAAATAAAGATCAGTGTCTGACCTATATAACTTGGCACCTCCACAGCAATTTGGGATTATTCTTTGAACTGAAAAGACTCATGTGAGCTCCCACACACAGCAGCAAGCTATTGTGTTAGGTATTTAACCTGCGCCAACACACGATCCCTCTTGCTATTAATTTGTCATTCCCTGATCTTGGTTTTATGATGGCATCAATCAAAAAAGTCTGTTAATTAGGGACTTAAGTTTTATCTGCATCATAGAACCTTCCATGGAATCCCAGAATCTAAGGGTTGGAGAGACCTTAAAGGTAATTTTTAGGCTGATCAATTTACCTTCTCCCAATGGCCTGGTTTTCTTCTCTATTTTGTTTATGGGGAGGAAGAATTGAGACAATTTGTAATAAAAGCATAAACACGACGAGATCAAATCACTTGTGTTAAACTGCTCTAAAATGCAGTAAGTTATTCACGTTAGTGGTTGCCTACATGGAGGATGAACCATGTGTATGCGACAAGCCAGCCTCGAAGTGAACACCACTTGCCAAATGATATAACGCAGCTGCATACAAGAGCTTATTCAGAGCAATATCTTTAACTTTTTATTTTGATATAATTCACACTTAAATAATACAAGAATAGTTTAAAGAATTCCCAGACTTACCAATCATTAATATTTTGCTCCATTTGCTTTATCATTTTTGCTTTCTTGCTGAACTATATGAGAGTTTTTCATTGACATCTTGTCTCTTTATCTACAAATATTTCAGTATTTATTTCCTAAGAACAAGGGCTTTCAGAGTACTGAAATCTCTGATCAAAACACAAAGTGAACATAAAAACCATCAGAGTAAAGAAAACAAAAAACGTTAACCATTAAAAAAAAACAACTTTACCTTCACAAGATAAGGGATTTTCCCTCACAAGAGGGGGTTTTTTTGGCCTATTTTGCTCACTGCAGTATTCCCAGACCCTAACGTAGTGCCTGGCATACATCAGGTGCTCAGTAAATACCCCATGAAGTTAATTTCTTAAATTCTTCTTAAGTTAATTTTGTATATATATGAAATATATATATACTTAATATATATATTTAAATTATACTTAGTAACGAGTGTTTCAAGGAGCCCCGGTGGCACAATGGTTAAGTGTTTGGCTGCTAACTAAAAGGTCGGCAGTTCAAACCCACCAGCTACTCTGCAGGAGAAAAGACCTGGTGATCTGCTCCCGTAAAGATTACAGCCTGGGAAATCTATGGGGCAGTTCTACTCTGTCCTATAGGGTCACTATGAGTCAGAATTGACTCAACGGCACAAAAACAACCGAGTGTTTCTGTATCCATTTTTTAAAGTTAATTTCTTAATATGATGGTATGAAACTACATTGATCACATTTCTAAACAAAGCGTTTCTAAAATAAAGCAGTTAATAACAGCAAAGTATTCAGTCATTTCTTGGTTACCTATAATTTGTATTTCACCAGTTGCAAAAAGAGGAATGACCTTCGGACGGAAAGGACTGCTGGGAAATTGCCTTTTTAACATGAGACAAAACAGATGATAACAGAAGCAGACGTGGCTTGCTTGGCCCCCTGAGGTGCGCTATGTGGACCTGCTCTCTCTTCACAGGTATCGGTTTCTGATGTACTCTCGGTACGTAGAGGTGTCTTCTTTCCCGAGGGGCTGCATGATACCTTTACTGGCCTGGATGTGGGCCTGGAAGATCTCTGTGGATTTTCTGTCTACTCTAGGAGGCTGCACTTCATAGATGTTGTCTTGAGAGAAAGCCGAGATGGGCGTTCTATAAAACATGAAAGAAGAGAGAGCTTCGTTAAACAAAACAAAGTGAAGGACAACAGGGAGCTGTGCTCTCAAAAGTGTTGAGAGCTGCTGACCTGGAAGAAGTGAGCTTGGTATTAGAAGAGGCTAAAATGACCTCTGGGCTCACCGGCGGCTGGCTTCCTCCTCAGCCTGAGAACAAAACTGGACCAGCATCCCCCTGGGAGCCCTCCCTGATGCAGGCACTTCTCCTGTGTCTCCACAGCCTTGTACTCATGGACGTGTGTACCCTCCTCTGTCTCCTTCACCTGACAGGGTAACTTTAGGCAGGGGCTATACAGACTTTTTGCTGTTTTTCCTAGGTGCGTGGTAGGCACTCTGTTTTTTTAAGGAAAATTTAGAACGAACCAGTAAAGTAGGGGATACACATAATTAGAATTGTTTCCAGGAGGAAATAAGTTTATACGTGTAAAATACTTACTCTGCACAATGCCTGATACCCTTGCCTTGGCCAAGTTGCCATGGAGTCGATTCTGACTCATGGTGACACCACTATGTGTCAGAGTAGAGCTGTACTCCATAGAGTTTTCGATGGCTGATACTTTGGAAGATCACCAGGCCTTTCTTCCAAGGCACCTCTGGGCAGACTTGAACCTCCAGCCTTTTGGTTAGCAGTCAAGAGTGTTAACCATTTGCACCTCCCAGGGACTCCTTGGTACACTAGGCTGTAATCTTTTTATATTTATTGTTTTAGGGTTTACCAATTTTTTTTTTTTTTTTTTGTATTTTAGATGAAGGTTTACAGAACAAACTAGCTTCTCATTAGACAGTGCACATATTTGTGACACTGGTTAACAACCCCACGACGTGTCAACCCTCGCCCTTCTCGACCTTAAGTTCCCTATTACCAGCTTTCCTGTCCCCTCCTGCCTTTTAGTCCTTGCCCCTGGGCTGGTGTACCCCTTTAGTCTAGTTTTGTTTTATGGGCCTGTCTAATCTTTGGATGAAGGGTGAACCTCAGGAGTGACTTCATCACTGAGCTAAAAGGGTGTCCTGGGTCCACACTCTAAGGGTTTCTCCAGTCTCTGTCAGGCCAGTAAGTCTGGTGTTTTTTTTAGGCTGTAATCTTTATGGAAGCAGATCGCCAGGTCTTTCTCCCACAGAGCTGCTGGGTGGGTTGTAACCGTCAGCCTTTCAGTTAATAGCCGAGCACTTAACCGTTGCACCACCAGGACTCTCTGTTGACAATTACAGGTGCATAATCTCTTAGCTGAACTTCTGAAATCCAAAAAACTTTAACAATCTAAAGTTATTTTGCTGGCAAAACCTGACCCAGTTGAAACTCGCTTTGTGGCATATCCTAACCTGACCTGATGATACTCATCCCACTTCATGTGAATATTAATGTGTTTAATTACCAGACACAGCCTCAGATCATTCTGGGGATGTTATTACAAGGTGTATGTACCATCTTGCTATGCTAACATCCAAAAAATTCTGAATTCTGAAACACATTTGGAACTCAGACTTTTGGATGTGGGATTATGGATCTATAATAGGCAGCTTCCTTCTTTTTTGGGATAACCTGAAAAGCAAGCACCAATGAATCTCTCTATTCAAAAATATCCCTCCATTCCCACCCCACCCACCAGGCCTGCCATAGTGCCTAAAATTTACACCCACCTTTTGGGGAATGTGCTGTCTTTAGAAAGCCCTTGTCAAAATGCAGCTTGGTGTCTGACATACCCTCAATTCTTCACAGTTTGAGCACCCACTAGTCATTACATCCCTCGAGGGATGAGTCAACCAGCAAGTCAGGTGTGACGCAGGGTGTGTACATGTGTTGGGGGAGCGTGAATGCTCACACGTGTGCCCAGGAAGGTCAAAAAAGAGCCACTGATAGAGAACAGTGATAAACCAAAAGGACATTGTGAGGGATTGAGGGGTACAATGACAACACACTCTACCAATTAGCCCAGGGCTGGCCCTGTGAGGAGGCTCTCCACACCAGGGCACCCAAGTAACACAGATACAGAAAATCTGGAAAGTCTATTCCACTGGACTGGGGCCTGCCTTGCTCGTGTGCTTTTTTCTTAGAGGAATCAGGAAGGGACCCTGGATGCCCACCGTGTGGCTGGCAGCGATGGGCCAGGAGTTGTCCCTGCAGACACATGCAGAATTGGAGCTCACACCCAGCTGGGTCCAAACACAGATGATCTATACTTGGAATGTCGGTATTTCACTGGACACCGTGTGGTGCAGTAACACACAAAGCAAGACAGAGGAGTTGTTCAGTAACACCCTCTGAAAGGGCTCTATCCTCATAGGATGTGTTACAATGAAACATGAGTCTTTCTTACTCTTTCAGAAAAAAAAAGTCAAGGTAGCTCACTGCACTTCGCCTTTATCTAGAACACCAATCCATCCTGAGATGGAGGGAAACTCTGTATTACGTCCCATTAAAATAAAATAAAACTGGAGGTAGAACGTTCTTTTTGGAAGTCAATCCCAATTGTTTTCATCTCAGGATAATATATCTCAACTGAAATTTCGTATCTAGTTTATGAAACACCCCCGTCATTTCAAAGCACTTTAATAACCTTAGAATTCACCCTTATTTAAGTAAACAAAAACCAATGGTAAAGTGATTTATAAAAATGTTTTAAAAATTAAAGAGCAAGGTGAGTAAAAATCTTGAGATGGCTGGATCTCAGTTTGTGCATCAGCCTGGCAGCAGCTCTTATCTTCAAAGAACAAAAGTTAGAATTACTCTAAGGTCTGTGGCTAAAACATTATAATGGTGAATGGTTGGGATAGTTAATATACGAACCTTTCTTCTCAATTTTCCCTCACAAAAATACAGCAACTCTCCAGTCATTTACATAATTCAAATTAAGATGCTACAATTCTTTAATGGTTGCTAATATTTAGGGTCAAGCCATTTTAACCTGTACCTTTGAAAAGGAGGTTCCATTAGCGTTTTCATGGATTACTCTCAAAACATCAGCAATGACAGCACCAGCCACAGCACCTCCTTCCGAGTCCTTTATATTTAACCACACCATCGATGCCCGTCTAGTACCTTCCTCTCCTCAAAGCTCTTTGACATACATTATCTTACTCGATTTTCATATCTGTCTGGGAGGCAGGGAGCCCAGGGATGATCTGCTCCATTTTACAGATGAAATGTTTAAAGTCTATTTGTAAAATGGGGCTAATAGTCTCTGTCCTGTCTTCGAAGCCAGAAGTTTGCATGGAGCCCTGTTAAGGAAAATGCTGTGCAGCAGGAATCACACCAAAGATAACTTCCAGGATCCAAGCCTTAATGCTCAGCTGAGAAAGAGGGAATACTAAGAAACCAAGTCATTATTTTATCCCTCTTGGCTACAGTCCCAGAGGCCTCAACTGAATACACACCAAGGCAGGCAGTGGAAGGTAAAAGGACTGGGTCCAGCAACCATGCAGGGCTAGGACAACCACATACGGAACCACAGACCAGCGACTTCCCCTGCACCTTGGGTTTCTCATCAGTAAATTAATCAGGAGTCCTCAACCTACTTCTTGGGAAATTGTTTCACTGCTGCGTGGAGTAATGGGAAATGATGATCACAAACATTCTAAACATGAAGCGCCAAACATCAGCCTTAAATGGTATCAGACTGAGTAGCAGGTAGGTTTAGGACTCCAGTGTCACGTCACTATGGTTTCAAAAAGGAGCCCTGGTGGCGCAATGGTTGAACAGTCAGTTGCTAACCGAAAGGCTGGCAGTTCGAACCCACCAGCCCCTCCACAGGTGAAAAATGTGGCAATCTAAAAATAACAACAACAAAAAAGTGGCAATCTGCTCCCATAAAGATTACAGCCTAGAAAACCCTATGAGGCAGTTCTACTCTGTCACATGGGGTCACTATGAGTCAAAATCAACTCAACGTGGTTTCAAAACTATCTACGTAGGAAGGTCATTTTGTCCCTTGTCCTTTTATTCACCTAGATATGAAGTCTACATTGAACAATAAAATTGTAATAAATTAAATGTTTAGTACTGAATTTGGGCCAGAAGGAAGCATAAAACATCCCCAACATTGTTGGTATAATCAGAAGAAAGAAGAGGAAAAACTGGATTCACAAAGAACTCACACACCTTTCTACTTCCTAAAGCCAGTCACAGTCAGCTCCTCATAGTCTAAGGCAGTGGTTCTCAAAACGTGACCCCAGGACCAGCAGCATTAGCATCACCTGGGAGCTTTTCAGACATGTAAATTCCCAGGTCCCACCCCAGACCTACTGAATCAGAAACCCTGGGAGTAAGGCCCAGCAATCTGCGTTTTAACAAGTTCTCCAGGTGATTGTAATGCACACTAAAGTTTGAGAACCTCTGGTTTAAGAAGACCACTGTCAACTGTGTCGGTAAGATATCTAAAATGCTAAGTAAGATCTTATTTATGGTCAATGCAGCAGCACTGAGCTTTTTTAAGAAAAAACTTTCTTTTTAAACGATATACGACCACTAACCCTACATTGAGAAGGCATAATTTAACATTTAATTGCAAAGACACAAGTGGCAGTATCATATTCACCACACATTTCCTAATGAGGAGACACTTTTCATTTCCCCAATGACTTAAGAATTTCCAAGGTGGGGAGGAAATAAAAAAAAATCCAAGACCTGCAAAAGGGGCTGCTGGCCGGCACCTTGTCTCTGAGAGTACTGGAAAAAGATGGAGGTAAACCCAACAACGCTTCCAACACCACACAGAATAGTCTTTTTAATAGCTTAAATAGCCAACTTTTCTGGATAAAGAGACCAACATTTAAACACCAAGTGATGTGGAAATTGTGAGGTCGCTTTCTTTTATTCATTCCAACAGAGAGGTAACCTCTTATTGCATTTTCATGGTAGAAAAATGGTACCATATTTCTCTCCTGGTCATAAACAGAGGGAATGCTTTTTTCAGCTTCTCATAGCCCCCAAAAGGATAAAATTTATTACCCTTAGTTCAAACGCTAATCATATTTTTGGAG